TGGGCCTGCAGTTTGGGTCCCAGCTGCACGAGCAGGTTGCCATTGTGCTTCTCATTCACCATGGCAGCAGATGTGCCTGCAGAGACAGAGGGGAACCAGAATCAAGTCTTTATTTCTGAGCTGCATCCTAGGGAAAATGTGAGAGAGCACCTCAGTTGCCTGACAGTAGAACTGGTTGAGGCACAGCTTTTGATCCTGAGACCCTACACCCAGGATAAAGCTCTGAAGGAAAACCTATTTTGTAAAGGCTCACATTCACCTTCCAAGAAAATAAGACAGCATTTCATATACAAAACCTGTTCCCAGCATCACAGGCACACACAGACAGAGGTTCTCCTAAAAAAAAACCCAAAACAAGGCAAAATGGTCCCTCTTATAAGACAGTAAATAATGACAGGAGACTTGGATCCTGTTCTCATTTCTGCCACTGTCCGCAAAATGACCCTCCCAAGTTGCTGCTTTTGCACTTCTATCTTTTCTCTTGTTAATTACCATTTATTTGTTTAGACTGCAACTTTACCCAAAGCTAAAGACACTCTCACTGTGGAGAGGGACCTTCACCAGGCCCTGAAGAAAATAATGAGCAATTTCTTAGATCTACTTCCTATACATCAAATCAGGTCAAATTCACTCAGTATTTCCTCCTTGGCTTCTTCTCAGAATTTTTTGTCTTTACAATGTTTCATTAATGGACAAACTCAACAAACCCAAAAGATTGCTACTCTCTGTTACCTGACTGTTCTGCATATCTTAGGACTACAAAGAAGGTGTGGTGCTTCTCTGCTTGGACTTGTGCAAAGAGGAGCATGGAAATAGTTTGCTGTCCAAGGCTGAGGGACAGCAATCAGCTGGCCAGCTGCAAACACCATGGACTGGCTTTGGATTGACTTCACTACTACAAAGGATTCCAGATTAGTCTGATAGGAAGGTTGTCAGAGGAGCTCAGGTAGGTGGCAGTGGGAAACACAAGAACAGGCTCTCCTGTCACACATGCCAGTAAGAGAAGCAGCGAAGCAAGATCCTGTCCACTGGTGGTAACACAAGTCATTCTCAAAAAAGGAGTTAAGATACAACAGAAACAGTCAATCCAGGTATAACCTAAGAAGACACTAACCATCAAAGACTATGACAGGCACATTCAAAATGTTTTCCAGGTGCAGAGAGAAGCAGTCTGCCAAGAAATTCATACCTACTTTCAGTTGTGCCTTCCTTGGAATTTGCAGCAAGCCAGATAGGAATCTTCTTGCAGTCTCTGTAATAAAAAGATCAAGTTATTGTCCTGTACTTTGTAACAGTGTTTAGATGCCACACAATAAGCCAAATAATCATTTTCCTTAAATGAGCTTGGACAGTGCATACGCACAGAAAAAAACCCATCC